AAAAAAAAAAAAAAAAAAAAAAAAAAAAAAAAAAAAAAAAAAAAAAAAAAAAAAAAAAAAAGAGTCCAAATTAAATTTAATTATATGGATAATTTTTTTTATTTCATATTAATTTCAAAGGGTATGATGGAAATTTCACCACTTATTTTTATTTAGAAGTCACCCATTGTCTCAAGTTACGTGTATATTAATTAAATATTTTATCATGGTAATTAAATAATTTTTTTTAGTGTTTTTTTATAGTTAGTAACCAGTTAAAAATAAAATTTAAATTTAGAAAGTCGTCATTGTAGCCTACCGACCACGGGAAACAGCGGAGAAAGGCAAGTAAGTCAATTAGACCATTGAATGCGGATCATAGAGAATTTATATTCATTTTTAATGGTTACGTAATGCCAGGCAAGCAGTGGGCCCCAACCCGACAGCCAATCATATCACACCAATGCTTTTTGAGTCACCACTAATTTTTGGGTGCGAACCTTTCCACGTAGGATAATCATAATTCATAATTCCTTAAACGAATCATTTTTAGGAAGAAAAACAGGGAAATTAAAGGTCAAACAAAATAGTAAATGACAAAATTATCCCTCCGAAAAGTGTTGAAGTGTGAAACGGAGGACGGATTGGAGAGGGGCGGTTTTGTAATTTAGGCAATAGCTATCCCGGCGAATCGTTGGGGCTCACAAGCGCGTTTGTTTCTTTTTAATATTTTGAATTTTGACAATTTATTTAATAATTTTATCTACCAAACAAAAAATATATTTTATTATTTTAATCGAATCTTATCCGTTATGATGATTTCATTTTAGATTAAATTTATCATTATTTTATGAATTGATGCTTTAATTTGGTGGGTGATTTGCTTTGCTGGCTTAGCCATGATTAATTGATTATATTATTCATGTCTTTATGCGCTAATCTTCCTCTAATCCCTCTTTAGGTAAATAATCCCTTTCTGTTATTATAAAAAATTATTGGATAGAGGAAAATATTTATTGTAAAAAAAATTAAAATTAGAAAATGAAAATAAAATACTTTTGTTGAGAAATTAAAAAAGAAATACATAACGCGGGAGCCCGCCAAAGTTGTTAAGAGTTGATGAAGCTAACTCCTCACTAACCCCGCGTGGCAACCGGCTAAACCGGTTCCAGGTGCCCATTACCAACCGTACGTATTTTATTTCTTGTTTCCTTCTTTCTTCACTCTTCTCATAACAAACTTAACGCGGTCTGGTTCAACTCAGAGAGAGACGTAAATCAAGCATGGCTTTATGCAATGTCTTCCTTTAAGGCGCAGAATTTCTCGCCCTCAAAAGTCTTGCTCCGATTGCTACGACGGAAAGATTTTGCCATGAATTTCTACTTTAGCCCTAATTTCTCTCTATATTTTCGACCCCACGCGTCTGGAAATGTCTTGATCGGAGCCAACCATACTTCTGCTCGATTTTGTTCTCGATAATCTTCATTGTTTTTCTCGTTTTTACTTTTATTTTTTGTGATTAATTTGACTGGAATCGTGCATTTGAAGCGTTGATTCTCCTGCAAGTGTAAAGAGGACGAGTTCCGCCATGCGAAGGTTTTTATCTCTGAGGAATTTGGTTAGGGCGCTCCTTATTCCTGTGTTTCTCTTAGTTGCTCATTTTTCTTATGTTGTGATTACCACTGGTGAGTCTTGTATCACTGGAAATTTCTGTTTCTCGCCCAAAATTTCTAAGTATCGTGCCGCTGGCTTACATCCCAGAGCTTCGGCGATAATCGACGGCACTGCCCCCACAGCTGAAGAACTGTTGCGTCGTGATCTTTACACTAGTAAAGATTGGATCAAGGCCGTTCAATTTTATTCTTCGATCTTTCAAGATCTGATTTCCGTTGGCTTTCTTTCTCACAAATCGAAATCTCTGTGCGTGGAGACCTCCAACGGACAAGATGTATTTTCCTTGAAGCAGATTGGAGTTTCCGATTCGATTGGAATATTCAAGAAAGCCGCTAAGCCTCTGGTGGTGAAGGGCGAAGGACACAAGATCCTGTTCGATGATAATACCTTCGATTTTATTTTCTTGGGCGTCGGCCGTCTTGATCAGTCATCCCGGCCGGCAGATTTTGCGAGGGAAATTGCTCGCACGCTAAAACCCGAAGGGTTTGCTGTCGTCCAAATTAGGGCTAAAGATACGTACAGCTTTCATTCATTCATTGATTTGTTTAATTGCTGCAAAATAGTTACATCACAGGATATAGATGGCCTTGATTCTAAAACGCCTTTCCTTCGCCAGATTGTTCTGATGAAGGAGAGTGTTGATGGTATTCTTGGTCATGGTGATGCGCTAACGCATCACTCTAAATCTGACAGTAAGTGTTCGGTTCTCGGATTTAAGGAAGAACTGGTCCGAAAGGCCGAGCCATTGATCTTAGAGGAGCCACTGAAGCCATGGATTACATTGAAGCGGAATATTCAAAAGATAAAATATCTGCCATCAATGGCTGATATTAGCTTCAAGCAGAGGTACGTTTACGTTGACGTCGGAGCGAGGAGTTACGGGTCTAGTATCGGAAGTTGGTTTAAGAAGCAGTATCCGAAACAGAACAAAACCTTCGAAGTTTATGCCATTGAAGCTGATAAAATTTTTCATGAACAGTATAGTTCAAAGAAGGGGGTCAAGCTACTGCCATATGCAGCTTGGGTAAGGAATGAAACTTTGACATTCGAAATCAATAGAAACCCAGGTCAGAAAGTCCAAGATAAGGGGAGGGGAATGGGTAGAATTCGGCCTGCGGTAGCATCGACGGGGACTTTCGTCGGCGACGTGGATGAGATTCAGGGCTTTGATTTTGCTGATTGGTTGAAGAATACTGTTACTGAGAAGGATTTTGTCGTGATGAAGATGGATGTTGAAGGAACTGAATTCGATTTGATCCCGAGATTGTTGGAGACTGGTGCTATTTGCTTGATAGATGAGATATTTCTGGAGTGTCATTACAATCGGTGGCAGAGATGTTGCCCAGGTGAGAGAAGCGCAAAGTATCAGAAAACTTATGCCCAATGCTTACATTTGTTTTCTTCCTTGAGGCGAAGTGGAGTTCTAGTTCATCAATGGTGGTGAAACAGTCTCTTCATGGGCGTTTGCTTTCTCAATAAATCTTCATCTGCACTGTAAACTACTTAACTTGGAGCTGGAATCGTATGCAGAAACAGCGGCGGTGATCGGTTAGAAATTCTACTTAGTTCCTGTCAACGTAATGAACCACAAATTACTGTCTGATGAACAGTTGGGCTAATGCGCCCTTCCTTCTAAGCAAAGCTATTTTGTAGCATTAGATATATAGTAGGCTATAACCATACAATGTAAGTTGAAATTCATCTG